CATTTTTTTTCCATCTCAGTCATCCACTTAGGATGCGATTAGCTGAAGTTAGTCATTTCTTCATCCTAATTATCCATTTAGAATGTGATTAGCCGAAGTTAGTAATTTATTCATCCCAATTATCCATTTAGGATGCCATTATTCATAGTTAATCACTTGTTCATCTCGGTCATCCACCTAGGATGCTATTAGCTGAAGTTAGTAATTTATGCATCTCAATTATCCATTTAGGATGCTATTTTTTGAAGTTAATCATTTATTCATTTTGGTATTCATCTAGGGTGCCATATTCGTAGCTAATCCTTTATTCGTTCTGCTAATTCATCTATGGTGTCATTACTGTAGCTAATCCTTTATTCATCTTGAGTATCCATTTAGGATGCCATTTACTAAAGCTAATCATTTATTCGTTTTGGTAATTCATTTATGGTGTCATTACCGTAGCTAATCCTGTATTCATCTCGAGTATCCATTTAGGATGCCATTAGTCGAAGCTAATTAATCATCTATCTCGATCATCCATTCAGACACCATTAGCCGAAGCTAATCTTTGTTCATTTTGGTCATCCATTTTGGATGCCATTAGCCAAAGTTAATCAATCATTTGTTCTAATCATCCCTTTGGATGCCATTAGCGAAAGTTAATCAATCATTTATCTCGGTCATCCATTTGGATGCCATTAACTAAAGCTAATCGATCATTTATCCCCGTTATCCATTTGGATGCCATTAGCTGAAACTAATCATTTATTTGTCCCGGTCATCCCTTCGGATGCCATGACCTTAAGCTAATCAATCATTTGTCCCAGTCATCCATTCAGATGTCATTAGCCAAAGCTAATAAATTTTTTATTCCGGTCAATCATTCAAATGACATTATCTAAAGCTAATCATTGTTTCATCAAACAATTCATAACAATTTGACATTCCCCACAACATAATAGCAGACCTTTCATGGTACTCGTACCACCATTTCCTAATAGTTTATCATTTAGTAACACGATGATAGATCTTTTGTAATGTAGAACCAAACATTCCATAACAGTTTAACATTCAATATAACACAACAATACCCTTTGTATCACTCATTCAACCATTCATGACAGTTAATGTCTAATGCAACACAACAATAAATCCCCTATAATACTCACACCACCATTCGTGGTAATTAACCATTAATTTAATACAATGGTAAATCTTTCATAACACTCATACAATCATTCATCACCATTACATTCAATAAAAATACAACAATAGATCTTTGGTAATACATTCATCATAATTACATTCAATATAATAAAACGATAGATCCTTCGTAAAACTCATACAATCATTCATTATCATTACATTCAATAAAAACACAATAGTAGATCCTTAGTAATATATTCATCACAATTACATTCAATATAATATAATGATAGATCCTTCGTAAAACTCATACAATCATTCATCACCATTACATTAAATAAAAATATAATAGTAGGTCCTTCTTACTGCTCATATTACCATTTATTAGTAGCCCAAATCCATAATAGCCCCAAACATCATCTCATATTTGGTTTAGTATTCATCACAACTCAATAAGATATTCACCCTAAATGGGTCATTTTAGAACTCTAGTATTTTCACCATTATTTTAACATTCATCAAGAACTTGTTCGACAATTTATAGTCATTTCGACAATCATCAAGAATTTAATCCAACTCTTCTTTGTTGTTTCCTCTATCAACGAGGATTTAAATAAAATATCATCACAAGTGAATCATTTTAAAACATAAACATTAAAATGGGAAAAAGGTGGAAACCACCTACATTAAAATGGGAAAAAGGTGGAAACCACCTACCTGCTCCATTTGTGGTCTGTCCTTATCCTAGTGATAGTCCGATCCTACCCACAAAACCTAAGACACCAATGGCCATAATCAATTCATTTGTATTTTCAATTCACATTCATCACCACACTTATTTCAAAAGTTCATACCTTCACATTCAAGTGTTCCACATTTTACACCATCATAACATGAAATTGTTACTAATATTTAAGTCATTTTTGCCTAGAAGTCTATTGTAGAAATCAGCAGCAAAAATTGGTTTGTTGCAGGCTGCCAATTTGGCAGCAAAAACTGGTTCGTTGCATCCAATAAGTTTTGCGACAACGAATGCTACTTCGCTGCAAATAACTCAATTTTGGTAGTGAATCCTAATTTGCTGTAGGAAACTCAATTTCAATTGTGAATTGCAAATTCACAGCAGCCACCTCAACTTCGACAATGACTCCCAAATTCACTGTAAAACACACATTTTGACAACAAATGCTAATTCGCTGCAATAACTCAGTTTCAACAATGAATCATAATTCGCTGTAGACAACTCAACTTTGACAACGACTCCCAAATTCACTGCAAAGCATATATTTCGACAATGAATGCTAATTCGCTGCAGAAAACTTAGTTTCGACACAGAATCATAATTTCACTGTAGACAACTCAACTTCAGCAGCAAATCACAAATTCACTGTAGAACACACATTTCTATAGCGAATGCTAATTCGCTATAGAAAACTCAATTTCGGCAGCTAATCGTAAATTCACAGTAGCTAACTCAACTTCAGCAGCAACTCCCAAATTCATTGCAAAACACACATTTTGGTTGTGAATGCTAATTCGTTGCAAATAACTCAGTATTGGTAGCGAATCACACATTCGCTGTAGAACACACATTTCGATAGTGAATGCTAATTCGCTGCAAACAATTCAGTTTCTATAGCGAATCATAATTTTACTGCAGAACATCTAATTCAGAAGTGAAAACTAATTCATTGTAGAAGACTCAGTTTCGATAGTGAATTGCAAATTCATTTCCCAACCTATATTTTGGCATGAACACACACCTCACATGTTGTAACAACCCTAGTACATAAACTATCTCTAAGTTCTAGCAGAACACACATATTAAAATCATCAATTCTTGCACATGATCTTTCAATAAATTCTAGCAGAACACAAACATTGAAACCATCAATTTCACTATATAATCTTTTGTTAAATATTCTGGAATCGGTTCCCCCTTACAACCTTGTTTTTATCCCTTGTTTTAGCTTAGTACTTTCCATAATAGTTGGAGTAAAGTTCCTAGGTCATGCATCCATAGTTTTCTTTTTTCTTTTTATTTCAAGACCTTAAGAACAGATGGAGAAAGACATGGTTCATACCTCATGGATTTAGTATTTTGGGAAGGGGTTTGGCAACATTTACTTGTCCAATTTGTAAGCTATCAACTTGGCTTCCTTGAGAAGCAAGGATTTCATGTAAATTTTTTTTCCCCTAAGCTGTCGACTTTGTTTCCTTCCAAACATAGGACTTTTAATACTACCAAAGTTGCTAAAAATAGAATGATTGTTGTCAGATCTCAAATCTAACCTTAAACACATTGTTTTTTTTTTTCCTTTATAATAAGTTACGGAGTTTATTGAATATAAATAGAAAATTTAAGATTTCTAACTTCCATTCCAGCATGAATTGTAATAAAATTTCATTTATAGCTTTAGATATACTCTAAACAATACACAAATATCTAGTTTAATAGATTTATAAGAACCAATAGGTATAAGCAATCCTCACATATGCACATAAAAATATTATTATGAAATTAAAGCTTGTTAAAAAAATTTACTAAACAAGGTTAGAAAATAACAAATGAGTTATAAATCAAATAGGGAAAAAATCATAAATCAACTAGAAAAATAATGCAATTCTCATATAGTGCTACCTTGAAATTTTTCAATCATTATAAAATCTTATATATATAAATTGAGCTGAAATTTTGTTAAAAGATTTCAAAGGACTCATATACATATATAAGCTTAATATCTCTTCTTCAGTTTTGATAATAAAATCTATTATGAAAATATCATATTTAGATTTTTTTATAAATATGAGTTTGAGAAATTTTTAGAATTTTCCAATCATCAATGTTTTTTATAAAAATTTTAATAGTTATTTTTTCATTTTATACAATCCTTCTGCTTTTAGAAGATTTAAAGGTAGAAGAAGCTGAAATAGAAGTAATCCTGTGAAAAATAAAATTCATAAATAGAAAAGATAAATTAGAAAACAGGCTATAGGTTATATGAATTTATTATTCTAAAACTCAAACGGGACTTATATTATTTAGTTGCATACCTATAGTGTGTGTCATTTGAAATCTTTGTATAAAATTTTAGCCTAATCCAATTGTTGAAATAAAATTTATATTTATTATTATAAAACTATATATTAAAAAAATAAGTTCAAAATCTCATTTAATTGTCTAATTTGTAACCTATCAACTTGGCATTCTTGAGAATTAAGAATTTCATTGAAAAAAAAAAATCCAGGTTCTCAACTTTGTTTCTTTGTAAAATAGGATTTTCAATATTATTAAAATTGCTAAAAATAGAATGATTATTGTTGTATAAATCTCTACATAAATCCCTGTATGATAAAAATTATCTATCAAATCTAACCTCACATACGTTATTTTTATTTTTATTTTTTAATGAATTATTGAAGTTATTAAATATGAATAAAATTTTTGAGATTTTTAACTTTCATTCCAGCATGAATTATAATAAAATTGTATTTATATCTTTGGATATACTCCAAACAAATATTTAGTTTAATAAATTTATTAACTCAAATATTTAAAATTAACCTAATTAATTTCTTTTAATTTTAGAGCAGACCGAAAGATTAAAAAGTAAGTTGTTGGATTTCGCTAGATGCACTAGAACGTGGTATGTCCTTAAAATCAACTCACGCAGAGATATTTTTAAGATATGATATACCAGAATCAAATAACTAGGTTAAAAGCGTTTTTGCTTACACGCAAACATTCGAATAATCAAGATCAGAGAAGCTGACAACGGGAGCAGCAATCCACTAGAGCAAGGGCGGGCCATATCAATTATCATCACATGGCTGTGACTGTGAGCGATAAAGGAGTTCATTTTAGGGTTTTTTTTTTGTTGTAAATAGAAGTCAGCAAATAACTAATAAATTAGTAGTTTATATATTTGTTTATGGACTCTATTTAATACCGAAACCACCTCCATCGACATCGAGAAAATCGAAAGAAGGAAATGGCCGGAGCTGCATCTTCTTCTTCTTCTTCACTTATTTCAACAGGCTTCCTTCTCTGTCATTTCCCTCAGTTCCCGAAGAAGAAAGCAACAACACTCGCTCTATCCTCCAAATCCCACAACAATAAAATATTCCTGCACAATCACAAGCAACTTAAATTAGCTATAAACACCACCACCACCACCACCAAATTATTGAGGGATTCTTTTCTTGTAGTGTGTACATCAGTGGCGTTATCATTTTCTCTGTTGATTGCGGATGTAGACTCTTCTGCTTTGGCTTTCGTTATCACCACTACCACTCCTCGTAAATTGCAGTCCGATGAACTCGCTACTGTTCGGCTCTTTCAAGAAAACACTCCTTCCGTTGTATACATCACCAATCTTGCTGTCAGGTGCGCTTCCTTTTTTCCTTTTTCTTGTTAATTCTTGATTCTTTAAATTAATTAATAAAGTTAACTGTACAGACAAGATGCATTTACGTTGGACGTGCTGGAGGTGCCTCAAGGATCAGGTTCTGGGTTCGTGTGGGACAAAGATGGCCACGTTGTCACTAATTATCACGTCATTCGTGGTGCTTCTGATCTCAAGTTAGTCCCATTAATGGCTTTTACTTTTCTTGAATATATTGCTGTTATTGTAGTAACTTTAATTAGCTTGTGGTACCTTAATTAGGGTCACTCTTGCTGATCAATCAACTTATGATGCAAAAGTTGTTGGCTTTGATCAAGATAAGGATGTTGCTGTATTGCGAGTTGACGCTCCCAGAGATAAGCTACGACCCATTCCTGTTGGTGTCTCCGCTGATTTGCTTGTTGGTCAGAAAGTGTTTGCTATTGGCAACCCTGTGAGTGAGTTTGGTTTTTTACCCAGCCCTAGAATTTGGGTGGCATATAGGATTGAATTATGAAACCTACATGAATTTGCTGTTAGAATCCATCCCCCTTTCTTAATCCTAATTTTATTTATATATAATATATTTTGTCCCTTTAATTCTCCATTTCTTTTCTCCAAAAAAAATTGATTAAAACCTGATTTTGTAACAATGTTTAGTTTATTTATAATTCCTGATTGAGGGTTTGGACATCATGTAATTGCACCACTGTTTAGTTTATTGTAAAGGTTACTCTAATTGGCAATCTGATTTCTGATTTTTCAGTTTGGACTTGACCATACTCTTACAACCGGTGTCATCAGGTATGATAGCCAGCAGAGTTTATTTTATTGTGTTCGTTTGTATTGTTACTTTTAGAGACACATACACACAATCATTGAAAAATTATAGGTTTGATTATGATCTCCATCTACGCTAATGCTCCAACAATTGACTGCAATTTGTTTTAAAGCTGTGATTCAACTGAAAGTTTTGGAAATAGCATGTAATTACAGTTGATTAGATTTTGCTTTCTGTTTAGTATTTGATGGAGATATGAATACCTTGTACACCATTGATCACTTATGTTTTCATTGCCATGTCATTAACTGATAAAAGAACAACAAAAAAATAAATAAGAATGTAGGAATAAGATGTATGGTTCTGGTTGTCATTTCGGTTGATACACCCGTATGTCTATGTGTGAGACACCATTTTGCTAACATGTTATTTGTGCTCTTTTCTAGTGGGCTTCGTAGAGAAATCAGTTCAGCTGCTACTGGCCGTCCAATTCAGGATGTAATACAGACAGATGCTGCTATTAATCCTGGTAATAGTGGCGGGCCACTTCTTGATAGTTCAGGGAGCCTTATTGGAATAAATACAGCCATATATTCTCCATCTGGTGCATCCTCTGGCGTTGGATTTTCAATTCCAGTTGACACTGTAAGTCATCACTCATGCCCTTGATTTTTTGTTTTCACAATGAACTTTTCTATGGCATTTGAGCGGAAGGAGAAACTTTCTTCTCTTGTTGTGCTTGTGAATAATTTACTAATCCTCATTTTTGCAAAGCTAGGTAAGTGGCATTGTTGATCAGTTGGTAAGGTTCGGAAAAGTAACAAGACCCATTTTGGGTATTAAGTTTGCACCTGATCAATCTGTGGAGCAGTTGGGGGTAAGTGGAGTGCTTGTCTTAGATGCTCCTACAAATGGTCCAGCTGGAAAAGCGGTATGTTCCATTCTTTCTTTCACATTTCTTCATAAAACTTTCTATTAAACCAACCTTTCTTTTCACTAGGTAAAATGGTTGGGCTTCATGTCCTTCTTAATGGCGGTGTCATAAGAAATTTTGTGTTCTACTTCCATTCATGTATGAATCTCTCTTCTGCAGGGTTTGCAACCAACCAAACGTGATGCTTATGGCAGACTTATTTTGGGTGATATCATAACTTCTGTGAACGGAAAAAAGGTTACAAATGGCAGTGACTTGTACAGAATACTTGACCAATGTAAAGTGGGTGAGCAGGTATGATTTTGATTCTTCTTCTTTTTTTTTTTTTCCTTTGACTAATGTTTCTGTATCTTTTGATCGAGGATGGGAGTTTGGTTTTAAGAGTAAGTTAGTGTTGTTTGCCATGTTTCCACTTTGGAGTTTAGCAATTTGAAAGTTGCCATGGAAATTAAGGGTTCCATTTGGTATAAAATATGCAAATTGATTCAATTTCTTTTTAAATAAAAATTTTGACTTGAAAGAAAAGCTATAAATATTTTTGGTTAGAAATAAATTTTGGCATAAAGCATAAGGTTGTTTCAAAATCGAGTCACAAATTTTGTTTTGATCGAAAGTATAAATTTGCAACTTTTACGTATTGATTTATACTGCCTTCATTCTTCAAAAAGTTATATCAATTCATTTTTGGGCACATACTTTTAACTTGACTCGTTTTTATCTTAAATTTTATGAAAATTAACTTTCAATTCATGACTCGAAGTCAAACAGAATTTAAAACCATTCCATTATTGTCTAGAGGTGAGGTAGAATGAAGTTCATGTGTCAAATACAATAGATATCAGTTGAAAATAAAGACAGGATACATGGATAAAATACAATGGTCCCTACTATGCATTCCACATGATTTTGTCTCTGTATTTTGTGTTTGTTGGCCTAGTCTATAGGTGATGTGGTAGACTTAGTCTACCTAATAATTGTTCTTTAGTAAGAAAGTGGCAATGATGTGATCATTGACTGAAAGTAGTGAAGCAATGAAGCAATAGCATTTCTTTGTGGTTGTGGTACAAGTATACTGGGAAAGATATCCTTTGAAAACCTGATGATGGGTCTTCCTGTTCCATACACTTACTGCATTCTTGGATGTTATGCTGATGACTGTTGATGTGATGGACAAGTCACTATGTTATGCAAACCTTGAGCTACTTTAGTTAATGTATGACATTGAATTATTCTGATTGTTGTTGTTTGATATCAAACCGTTCTGATGCTCAGGTGACAGTGGAGGTGTTGCGTGGTGATCACAAGGAGAAGATTCCTGTAATACTGGAACCAAAGGCTGACGAGTCTTAATGTGTTAAAGGTCTGGCCTGTATATTTGATGCAGTACATGCATGGGGGAATGCAGTAAAAGGCTGACGATTATTTTGTGTATTAATTGTTTCACAAGAAAGGTTGTCGCTGTATTCCTTGTAAGTATTAGAAAGGATGCAGCCTCACAAACTCTCTTCATCAGGGTGCTTAATATCATTCTTGTCAGAAGAGGAAATGTACGTCACGCCAAGCAGTTCATGTTTAGTGAAATAACAATTTGATCTCTAGATGTCTCACACTTCCTGACTATTCTTACTGCTTCATGGCATCTCTCATTTATTGTCAGATCAAGGTTTCGACTTTAGAGGACTCGAATACAACTTTACCAACTAGCATATGACTAAAATTTTGGAGTTATGCCTCATTTCCCTGGTCAGAATTTGCTAAGTTGACCTGAAATTTTGGTTGGCGGTAGGTTGGTTACTCTACCCAGGCTTCAATGTACGATTTATCTGTGTTGGATCAGTGTTCAAGTCGCTGATGAATGACGAGGGTTCTTGTACAGAAACTGCCCTTTTTATATGTTCAACTTTCAAGGACATCAAAGTCTGTTTCCCCTTTTGAAGAAATGCACCACTAATGATGCACGGAGCTGGTGTCCTTGTGAGGCTGCCGCCATTTATGATTATCCTAGACATGCTTCGGCTAAGGCTCATAGCAACGATCATACCTAGGCCATGTAACTGGGCTTAAGCTGAACATATATGGAGTAGGTAACCCCTCATGCATAATCATGCTAGAATGTTGCTAGTGATATCCAAATATTTGGCTGGTAACTTTCATAAATTCCCTATTACACTCGTTATCTGTTTATATTATAATACATCTTAGTTATGTAAATTGACATTATAAATTACTTTTAACTGTTGCCTTATTAATAAAACTTATTAATCATACACATAAGATGCTATTTGTTGAACAAATTTTCATGTCATCTTGTTGTCTTATCTAGTTCATTTACACATATTTTATATCTTTGTACATTGATGTCTTATACATCAATGACATTAAAAGAGTTTATACATGATATGTTTATATATACATTTACATGTTTCATGACCAATACATAAATTCACTTTAGAGTATACTTTACTCTCTAAATTTTAGCTAAAATAGCTAAAAAGTTATTTTAGCTAGCTAGCTAGCTAAAAGAATATTATTACATTCATACTCTCTAAAATAAAGAGCCATGAATATGCACTTTTTTATCCAATTAAAAATTTTTATTTTTAAAATTCAAGTATTACAATAATTATATTTCAACAATCATAATCTTAAAACGATTATATTTTAATGATCATATTCTTGATGGCTATATTTTTACTACTTTCATTTACTTCATCATTTGCCTCACTATCTCCATCTTAACTACATTTTTTTATATTTCTTTTGTTCATTCCATTTTTATGGCTTCAACAGTTTTTTACTTGAAATGTTTTTTTTCATAATAATGACTTTAATGATAATTTAGAATTATTTGTAGCAATGATAATTAAAGAAGAGCAACAAGTTAGTGAGGGATGATCATCATGATCTTCAATGATTTTATGAGTCAAAACATGCTTTACATGCTGAATCGTTTTTTTCAAAAAAAAAAGAAAGTGAAATCGGGTTGAAATCAGGTAAAATCATTAAAACCGGATGAAATCTTGTAAAATCACGATTTCAAGATCGATTTTTCGATTGTAACAAAATGTATGCACTGAAACAAAATGTCCCCCTATGGTCCTACTATTAGACACTTATTGGATATGGAAATGCACAGTCATGCCACACAATCTTCACTCTTTAGTCACAAAAGAGTCTTCAGTTTCACTTCTTTTTTACTGAACAAATCCCTAATCCCCTTCTCTAGTTAACCAACCAAGCACCGATCACACCAGATAAGCTGCTTCCAGGGTTTCAGGTTATCTAGGCAAGCCGATCATTTTTTAGGTTAAAGAGATCATGGAAGGAACGATGGATCTAAATGAACATTATAAGATAGAAGGATCAGTATATAAGGCCAAATTTAATGGTCGGGTCTTGGTAGTGAAGAAAACCAAGGATGATGTCACAGAAGAACTAAAGATTTTGCAGAAAGTCTATCATGCAAATCTAGTTAAACTAGTGGGGATGTCATCTGTATTTGACAAAGAAGGAAATCGCTTCTTGGTCTATGAATTTGCAGAAAATGGATCACTGGAAAAGTGATTGCATCCCACCTCTGAATCTTCCTCAAGCTCTATGGATTTCCTCACTTGGAGTCCTAAGTTATTCACTGCTACTCTTAGATCAGACAACAATCCAGTAAAAAAAAAGAATCATCATGTTATTGGTTTTATAAGGTTATAAGTCGAAGTATTGGATCAATTATATTATAATATAAATATATTTTATAACGTATAAAAAATAAATTTTTATATGTATGAATTTCTCAATAGCAAATTATGTATAAATTTTTATTTGAACCATGAATTTTAAGATGCGTGAATTATGTATGAATTTTTATTTAAAATATGAATTTTGAAGTGCTTGAATTATGTATGAATTTTTATTTGAAGCATAATTTTTTTGTTAATGTATTTTAAAATTTCTTACGATTTTATGATCTGAATTTGTATTACATTTTCCATGTCATGTTAAAATCATGATTTTAACAACCTTGATCTTTTCATTGATCATGAGAGACCTGAAGGCTATAAAATGCTTGAACATCATTGTTTTGATGAAACTTTTTATATCCTTTATATTTTTTTCGAAGAAAATTTTGGATGAGTCATTCATTTTTTTTTTAAATTTGATGTAAAAGCATATGATCCTACAAAAAATAGTAGCATCAATGAAAATCCTTGCATACGAAGCATTTGTAGATTTTATGGATGAATACATGTAGATTACCAAAAGCACCTCAATAAAAAAAATTAAATATTTTGTGAAGGAAAATGTTGCGATATTTGAGGAGTACTTAAAGTCACCAAACATTAATGATATAGCTAGATTGTTGGTGATTAGTGACACGACGAAAAGATTGATGTCTTCTCCCAAGTGCAGGAGTGTCGAAGTAATAAATAACCCGGCAAGACCGGGGTCGAACCACAGAGAGATTATTTGTACAAATTATAAATAACAATAACAATAACAATAAAAACAACAACAATAATAATAATAACAATAATAATAATAATAATAATAATAATAATAATAATAGTAGTAGTAGTAGTAGTAGTAGTAGTAATAGTAGTAGTAGTAGTAGTAGTAGTAGTAGTAGTAGTAGTAATAATAATAATAATAATAATATTAAAGAAAGAGAAGAAGAAAAAGATGATGAGAACTTGGAGATGGAAAATTAATGTAAGGATTAAACAATAATAATAACAAATGTCAAGGTTAGAGGTTCCACTAATGGTATATCAAACAAGTATAGTATAAACTCTTATTATTGAATTGGAAACCACACACAAAGGAGGTTCCAATCAGATTATATATTGTTAACATGATTACATTAGTCATCTTATTTAATTAATGCTAATACTTGTAAATCTCGTCAAGCATTCATGATTATAACTTATGTTAACAACAAATCAAGTTCCTTTCATAGCTCAGGTGTCGGTTATACCATACATTATGGGCTACGAAAGTGCCAAGCATTTGTTGTACCAAGTGTTATACAACATAAATCAAGATTAGTCATTTAACAAGCAAAGTATTAAAGAGTGCACAAGATAACAAATATAAAACATGTTAGTATCAAAAATTAAAGTCCATATTAAGTTTACAGTATACTTATTCTTACACCATTAGTGTAACCTTTTCCCCTTGACATAACTAACTTAGCTAGACATAATGAAAGAAAGCAAAATAGATAAACAAAATAAGAACATAAAAGTTAACTAAGTAAAGGTAAGGAAATGAAAGGCATAAACTTGATATTAATGAAAGTAAAACATAAACATTACAAAAAATACAAAGAGATAAAGGAAGAGCATGATCTTGATCTGGAAACCAAGATGCCTAAATGCATGGTAAATGCCTCCTTTTATAAGCCAAAATTGGGAACTATTGATTTGATGACTAATTGATAAGTGGGTGGCCAACTTTTGACTTGGTGACAATCCTTATCTTCTCTTATCTGCCCAAAACGTCATTGATAACGTCAAAATTGGAGCTAGTTGTAAACATGAAAGTTGTAGGCAATTGTCTCAGCTTTCTTGTGTAAACAATTCAGCTCATTTGGACTTCTAGAACTCCAGATATGGCCAAAATACCGAACAGTGCTCGGGCTGGAAGACAGATTCGGGCTTCTTTGTTGTTGCTACAATTTGGACTTGATAATGGCCTTTTTAGATCTTGGGCTCCATATGAAAGTTGTAGGCCTATGTCTTACCTTTCCATCCATATAAATTGGACCTAAATCTGAGATATATAGCTCCAGATATGACCCAATTACCGAACAGTGTTCCGGTTTGGATCGCACCGACATCTCTTTTCTAAGTTTGGCCATCTCTTTGCCTTTGCAATTTAAGTTCTTAAAGTCATCAATCAATATTTTCATTTATGTGATAGGCCTGTATTTAAAATAAAAATTTACCATAAATTAAAGGTATCTTATATTATTAGATATATTATTATAAAACATGCTTTAGTTAAGGAGTTATTGATACTTCAAGTGCAAAATGATGATATAAAACCATGATAAAAATGCACTTTTAAGTACTAATCACACCCCCCAACCATCTTATTACTAGTCCCTAGTAATCAAAGCGTAAAATAGAAAAACAATTTGCAAATTCCACAAAGCAAGGTATTCATCATTTAACTTCCATTAATCTATCCAGATAAACAAACTCTCATTAAATTTATATATCTGCTCAATACCACTTAACAAGATATTAATAAACCTTTCTTTTGTGCTCAATGTATCAACACATAATTTTGGGGCTTTTCTTGGAAGAAAACAAAATTTTTGTTCTAATGTTTAAGGTTAACTTCCTTGGGTTGGGATTACTATTTTTGTCTTTTTTTTTTTTTTTTAAAAAAATAATCTATATACATATAATTTTAAAATATCGTGCATCTTTAACCCATGTAACGAGCTTTCAGCTAATGTCTCCCAAACCAGTTGGTCTTAGGGCATTAGGTGTTAAGACACCCCTACGAGCTTAGTAACTCGGGTCGCAGATACTGATATGTAGATAGTGCAATGTTTGATTCCCTTAAGCTTTTCTCCTCAACCCATGTAACAAGCATTGGGCCAATAGCTCCCAAGTCAGTTGACTTTAGGGTATTAGGTGTTAAAACACCCC